CTGTGAATCTGTGTGGTTGTAATAAACTTAGACAAGCTTTCAATGAATAATTCACACTGTTATCTGTACCTTAACATATGTCCCTATGGAGACCTGACCATTTAAGAGTGCACAGAGCTGAATCATTAGTTGATCTCCCTTATCAAATGTGTACTGGAACTCTCTGTAAGCTGAATTGCCTGGCACTGTCTCTGCCTTGCACAGTAAATATCAGCAGCTTGATGTCCAGATACAGACCAAAATGAGAGGGGCAGGCCTAAAGAAGAGGGGAACGATTAAGGTGCCTATAAGAGAGTAAAAGACAAGATCTGTACATTACTTTCTTCTACCCTTCCTATGATGTATGCTACCTTTGTTTAAGATAATTCTCTTGAAATTCTGAACTACATTGGGAAAGGCTAAGTACTTGTGTGTCTGGCTACCCAACCCCATGCAAGATAATGGCTCTTGTTGGGGTTCACAGTAAGAAGAAAAAGGGATGTTTGGTTTTGCCTATCCTGAGAGCCTCTGAACAAGATGAAAACTGATTGATTTATAACGTTCTTAAAGCAGCAAAGCTTAACTGTCAGGCAGAGATTTGTGGTTTTTAAAGTTGGACTGCAGGTTTTCCCCCAAAACATGCTGATGCACTTTTTTTTTTTTTATTGATTACACATAGTTAAGATGCATGGGGAGATGCTTTTTTTTAAAGATTGACAAGCCTATCCCTTCATTTTAGGACTTTAAAAAGCCTTCCTAGATGAGTCATCCAAGAAGTCCAACAATAAAAGATGACAAAACTGCACTTAGAGCCTTTATTTCAGGAAAGGTGTACTTTCTCTTTCTTCATCTCTTGTCCCCCTTTAAACCTCACAAGCCAGGTAAAAAGGGAGGCATACTACACCTGGAAATGCCAGTCAGACGGGTTTCGATGCTAGATGGGCCAATGGCCAGTTTCAATATGAAAAGCACAAACAGTAGGATTTGGATCTGAGAAACTGCTATAGTTGTGTTGCATGGATTTCATTGAGAACAACTAGGGAATGCTGACTGTCATGGATAAGATGAAAACTAGGCACCAAAAAAAATAAATGGAAATGAGGCCAGCATCTCGGTGAGGGGAAAAAAATGCAATGAATGTCTTTTTATTTTTTTTTTTCCCCTTTAGACTGAGAATATGCCACAGCTGAGCACATAACTCTCTCTAAACTTCTTGCTGTGTTGGGTTTAAAATGAAATGTGCATATTAGTTCTACGTTCTATCTGTTATTACCCTCATCAGCTTAATTTCATTGTTCAGTATTTGAATGGGAGCAGACTGCTACATTCTTAAGAATTCATGGAGATGCCTACAGCCATATAACTTTGTCTTGTGATTTAAGCCAGAGCTCACAAGCTAGAGAAGTGTCCCAACCAAGGATAGTGCTCAAAATGCTGCAGGAAGTAGCACTGATGATTCATTCAGAAGGTGTCATTCTTCCCTCTGCATCAGTGATGAATCAATGCCTGTGTAGGTTGTTAGAAGGCGTTGTGCTGGGATGGGTCTCTCCTAAAGTCTGTCCAACTAGCAACCCCAAGCAGCTATATCTTCAAAACCGCATAGATCTTAAGCATTGTGTTTGACCTGGATCATAACGTTCTTCAAACCCATTTCACTGGGCAGTCTTGCTGCTGTTGCATATAATTACATTCAATAACACAGAATATTGTTGTACTTTGTATTCTACAATGGAGAGAGGGTGGTTTAGCACCTGCAGGAGACATGCCTGATTTTAGTTTTGTAAAGTTAGTTGCCTCTAGGAACTTCAAGGAACTTTTTTTTTTTTTTTTTATGGTGTTGTGTGTGGTGTTTTGGGGGTTTTTTTGGGTGTGTGTGTGTGTGTGTGTGTGTGTGTGTGTGTGTGTGTGTGTTTTTGTTTTTAAAAAAAAAAAAAATCTAATTAAATAGCATCTCCAAAAGTAAATGCCATCCTGGCTAATTCATATTGTGAATGATATGAAATTCGGAACCATTTACCTAATTCTTTCAAACCCCCTCACATCCAGAGTTTGATATATCAGTGTTTGTTTAATCTGCCTCCCTGGCAAAAGTGCTGAGAAGTTCAGAACTGATCTAAAAATTTCCACTACAATTGTTGAATCATCAGGTTATCCGTCCCTCTCCCTCCAAAGAGGAAAACCAGCTGAGGAGATGGAAACAAGGCATCTACCACACAAAAACAGTTTTGAAAACATATCAATGTTGCATACTAAAATATCTAATATCTCCCATGTAAACCAGGTCTTGGCTTGTAACTAGAGGCCAAACCAGAGGGACAGCTGATACAGGATTCCTGCAAACTAGGGCTACAAACCTGCCACTGCCCATTTTGGAATAACCTCAGGAAAGCCCTGGAAGCCTACAAACCATAATGCTTCTGTATCAAGTCATCAATCAAAGTTGATGGTAAACTCTTAAGTAGCATTTTGACTAGTTTCAGATGCCATAAGTCTTATGTCTCTGCCTCTTCAAGGTTACTGTCTTTTTACAAAAATTCAGCAATAGTAACGTCTGTTATACCTTTTAGAGGGCTGAAAAATGCAACTGGTTGAAGTGTCACACACCTTGTTCTGCATCATTCCTTTCCTAGCTGATGAGATCTGGCTTAATGGCTAGCAGTCTTTTTTCCAAGTCACTCACAGGACCTCAGCCCTGAAAAATATTTTGTGCTCAAAAAGCGATTTTTATGCTGCAAAGTCTTAATATTCTGCAGATACTCTGTCCAGACCCTGTCATCAGCGATTCCACCTTGGGTTCTACACCAAGCTGTGTGCAGAGCTGAAACATGACTTGGAGACATATGGTTGACTTCCTG